CTCAGCTCGTGGCAAAGAGGAATTCATGAAAAAATGGTTGACATCTTCAAAAAATCCTTCAAACACGCTGTCGCGAACCGGCTGCTTGATCTCGAAGACATCAAAACAATCGCAAAAGAAGCAGAGGCCTCGTAAATAGTCGTCCATTCACATACTACTCACAAGAACTAGACTATTTCCCCTTACAATCTATTGATTTTCTGAGACCAGGAGCTCGACTATGTAGACCACAACCCACGGAGGAACACTCAAATGAGTACCTTCCCTTCTACACCACGCGAGACACCCTTCTCGAAAACTGGAATCGCACATCACAAGTGACTTCAAAATTCTGGAACCGCTGGAACAACGAATATCTAACAACGATGCGAGAACAATTCAAAACTGAACATCATACTCCACGGTCACACCAACATGAACTGCCCAAGACTGAAGATCTTGTCCTCATTCTCGATGACTTCTTACAAAGAGGGTAATGGAGAATGGAAGAGATCGTGGGCTCCCAAGACGAATTCCAACGGTCATATGATATCCGTCTTCCTTCAAAAAGAGTATCACACGTCCGTACTGCTTAGTCCATAAATTGGAAATATCCATCCCTGAAAATTCTGAAGAACCCTCAACTCATCAACCATTGCCGCGCCATCCGATGATAACTAGGTCCAGAGCTCGGGCATAGACATCCTGTATCCTTCCTTTTATTATGTTACAACTACTACGCGCTCACTCCGCTACCACCAGCAACACGAGATGCTCGGATGAATTCAATGTCAACAAAACGGTTATCTATGCCACCTGGTGCGTTTCTCAAGGAGTCGCTGACTCACGTAAAGGTTCCCGCTCTCGTGCCCCCATGGAGCGATACGGTTTGGAAATCAACACTTAAGGGATACACTCTGCGCGGGAACAAGGCGAATGCCCCACATGGTCTACCTCATCTTCTTTCATTGCTAGATGGAGGACTGCCAGCTCTACGTTTACCTCTCTGCCAAGGAGAATCCGTCAGTATCGCCTCCTACAAGTATGCTCCTTTTCTAGCTCACCCAAGTGCGATTCACAAAGAAACTTGGAGTTTTCAATCAAATACAACTCTTCGACAACAGAACACTCCTCGTACTCCTCACTCGACATAAGCGTTCAAGATTATATTGACGAAAACGACTTCATCTGTGTAGACCATAAAGAATGGATACGACGACCAACAAGAAAACAACTGGTACACACACTTTTGCGCATTTGCCGCGATAAAACACAAATGTCATGATGACCCGCGAACCTTTTGTGTCATTGACCCTCCTCTTGCAGTACTCGCTCGTCGACAATCGGAACTCTTCCCGCACCGTGCCTGTCATTGTAAAGGCTTGGGGAACAATCTCAAAGGTCTATTACGGATATCCCAGTAATCACACCAAAGGTATCTAGCCCCATACCGCTGCTACTGCCCGTGGAATCACACTGTTCTAAAAGTGGAGTGACATTCACAAAGTCCAACTGCAAGTGCTTGTAGTTTATTGTGTGTTCCTG